TTTTTTTTTGTAATGGTTTGTTTTCACATTTTCCTATTTTTTGGATAAAAGAAAGTGAAAGAATCATTTTTCGAGAGGTGAAATAGAAGTCCCCAGTTCTCAAATCAACAATATCGATTTTTGACAAAGCGAGATAATCTTGGATATTTCCAACAATACTTAAATTTCACGGAGAGAAATATTCCTTAAAAATTGCAGAACATTGTTTCGCTCACCGATTACGAAATCGTTCAGATAAAAATTACTGAACAGTTCCGTAAAATTTCCTAAAGCCACACTTCGCTTCCAATTTACGAAAAAACACCCTAATTTTTATTGAATATTTCTCTCAGTGTACAGATTTTCGGTCAATATGGCCAAGAAGGTCAATGGACGTAACGAACAATATACTTCTCATAACTCTGTTAATAAATAATTACGAATTCGTCACTTGTGAAATGTTTGTAAAATCATCGACACTAGGACAATTTTTACGACAACAAAAAAAATAGCACATGTCACGATTCATTGCACCTAATTGAGAACCGTCGAGAATTTTTTCGAATAAATACTGAAAGGATAACTGTTATTCGATTTCTTTTTATTACGAAGGCGTACTGGTAATGACGTCACTCAACTTCCATGCCCGAGTTTCGTTCCAATCGGTAACGTTACTGGACTTTCGTTCCAGGCGGTAACGTTACCGGAGTTTCGGTACAGAGTTTCGTTCCTGGCGGCAACGTTACTGGACTTTTGGTACAGGGTTTCGTTCCTGGCGGTAACGTTACTGGACTTTCGGTACAGGGTTTCGTTCCAGGCGGTAACGTTACTGGACTTTCGGTACAGGGTTTTGTTCCAGGCGGTAACGTTACCGGACTTTCGGTACAGGTTTAGTTTCGTTCCTCACCGCGTTCCTTGGAACGAAACGGAAAAACCGCAGTTTCGTTTCGTTCCAGAGTTTCGTNAGGTTTAGTTTCGTTCCTCACCGCGTTCCTTGGAACGAAACGGAAAAACCGCAGTTTTGTTTCGTTCCAGAGTTTCGTTCCAAGTTCCTGTTTAAAACTCATAGTAGTCTCCCCTTAGAAACCTTTCGATCAAAATTGATCGGTATATTATATTTATTTATTGCGATATTTAACTAAGAATTTTCTTAACTGGGCTTGGTGCAACCGGCTCAAGGAGAGTTATTTCCATATTTTATGGCTTTTTCCTACCTGTTTTGTAGTTTAAGGCTATCATACCCTAGGTGGTATGATAGCTGCATTAAATTATAGAGAAAAAAAGGAACACAGTTTTGTGGGAAAAAGCCTTTCGGCATAAAAAACCCAGATTTATTATCAATACACTAAGTTTTTCAGGGTTCACTGCGAATGGCGGTGACACACGACGATTCACACACACACACATACATACAACACAATGTATTTGTTCGTTCTCTAGTTGTTTGTGACAACGGTTAGCATGTGTCCACACATATAAACATTTAACCTCCACTAAAACTTTAATAACGCAGGCTAATTTGGGGGTTGATTGGCGCAATCGTTAATTGCGTCCTTGGAAGCGTGGCTTGTGTGCCTCGTGGAGGCACGAAATTGTGTGATTTCATGGCGTTGGTTAATCGTTCGTTCGATCGTTAATTTATAGCCATTTGCTATCAAATTTCGTTTCACTAGTGCACTAGTTTTATTACGTCATGATTTCCCAGGAAAAATTTTCAATTATAATTTTAATAATCCAATAAATTCTGGAAGATTATGACAGTTATTTTCTCCTATTTTGAGCCTACCTTTCGGTAATAGCTCAAATATTCAATAATTATTGAATATTTGAGAATTTTAGTTCAGGGAACTCAATATAAAAAAAAAGTTTCAATTCTTGATGTAAATTTTCGTGTTGATTCGAGGGAAAAATTTTATATTGTATGACAATTTATATTCAAAATTGGTGAAAATTAATCCATTTGTAAATTGTTTATTTCAAAGAATTTGATTTCGTTAAAATTTGAATATAATTTAAAGAAATATTGACTTCATTTATTGTGAATTTTTATCCTCTATTATTCTGACAATTCACCCGACTCCAATCCCGAGCTATTACCGAAAGGTAGCCTCCAAAATAGGAGAAAATAACTGTCATAATCTTCCAGAATTTATTGGATTATTAAAATTATAATTGAATATTTTTCCTGGGAAATCATGACGTAACAAAGTGGGGGCTCGTCCGGGATAAAAAGGGTGAATTGTTGGAATAAATTGGAAAAATGGTAGAGAAGAAAAATTGATTGGTGTTAAAAGGAAAAACTCAAATTTTGGTAATAATTTTTATTGAACATTCTCGAGGCAAATAAGTCGTGATAAATTAATTTTGTGGGAAAAATAGAAGATGAATTTCCGCAATTATTTGAAAGATTATTTTTGATCTTGGACAATTTCACACTTTAAGGTTTCAGGACTCACTTTTTCATTTATATTGCCCATTAAAAGGGGAACAAAAATTGACAATAAAAATTAATTCATCAATTTCAATAATAAAATTCGATTTCCATGGAAAATTCGATTTCCAGATTTAAAAAAAACTGATAAGAGTTGGCTTTTAAATGGTTTGACAGTCCGGAATTGTTTTGAGTTGAAATTTCTACATTTGGATTTGAATTGGAAATATTATAGAAGATGAAATTGCTTGATGGATCAATTTTCATTTTTGAAGATTTCAAATTTTGGCCACTTTGAAAATAGAATTTCGTATTATTTTTAGCTGAAAAGGAAACTGAAAATTGACAGGAAGAATCGAATTGATGAGGAAATTGAAATTGAAATTTATTGGGAAATTCCGAACTTGATTTTGTTGAGAAATTCAATCAAAATTCATATTAATTTGAGTCTGGATAACAAGTACATTTGGAATATTCCTTCCCCTTTCCCCTGTCAGTTGAGTCAATCTGCCTGGCAACTACGGCACGCCTTCCGCGTACCCCGCATTACCTAACGCGCCAGGGAGCTCATTCCAGCTTGCGTATTGTACTCTCTCCCTCTTCCCCGCGATACCTAACTCTCCACGCAACTTGCACTCACGGTATCCTCCGTATTCTTCCCCTCTTTCCCTTTCCATGAAGAAATATTACCGTTATTATTGAAAATTTTGAATCAAAAGTAAACTTCAAATTTCAATTGACATTTGATCTATCAATTTTAGCCGTAAAATAATAGCTAATTCCAGGAATTTTTACAGAAAAAAAATTTTTTTCCTTTCTCCAATTCAACTATTGGAGTTGTGAGTTTTTTTGTTAAATTTAAATCACTCCTGTTACTATTGAATGTTCTCAAATTAAAATAATTTTTCACTTGTGACAAAATTGTCAAAGTAGAATATTTTTGAACAAATAAGTAATCAATGAATAAAAATTTTTCTTTTCACATTTATCTCAATCAATTCCTCTTGGAATTTTAATATAATTATAAATAATTTTATCAACAGAATAGAACTTTTCCTAATCCAATATTATAAATTTAAATATTTTTTGGTTGGTTGGAATTTCAATTTTCAAAATAAATTGTAAAAAAAAATTTGAACAGAAATTCATCATTTAATTATTTCACATCTTCAGTCCAGAAAATTTTCCATGGAATCAATTGTCAATTTTCAAATGAGAGAAATATGAATAATTCAAGTAATCGCTGTCATTATAATAATAATTATTAAATGCATTGAATTAAATTTTCAATAAATAAATTATAATTTTCACTGTTTTTGTACATCCGAGAATTATTCATTGAATGATCGAAATTTGATGTTGAAAAATAAATTGAATAGAAAGTGAACAATTAGAAAATATTATTCAAAAAATTATTGAGTCCACAAATTTTGTTTTTTTCACCTTAATAAAATTAGATAAAACCTTCTAGTTGGATCGGAAATAAATTCATTTTCTAAATAATAATAATAAAAATATTCGTTCAAAAAAAAAAATCTAATAATAGTTTCAATGAAATATTTTTGAAGAGAATAATTTCATGTGACCGTCGGAATAAAAGAGGAAATTTTATTTTGTTTTCAGAGAATCGTGAGAAATACAATATTTAACAATTAATTCATTTGAAATTTCAATTTTTGCGAAAAAAAAATGTCGAGAATAAATGAACCAATTATTTCTATGAAGGATGCTTTGCGTTTAGTTTCGGAATTTAATGGGGAGAATATGAGTATTTTTGATTTTATTGAAGAATGTGAAGATGCACGCGACAGTCTTCCCTTGAATTTTGAGTCAACATTAGTCAAGTTTTTCGGAATCAAATTGAAGGATGAGGCACGAGAATTACTTTACGGTCGAAAATTTGAAAATTGTCAAGAATTTTTCACGTATTTGAAGAAAAATTATGGCCCGAGAAAATCTATTGACGGACTCGAAGGAGATCTCGCCAATTCATATCAGGAAGAACATGATAAAATTATCTCTTATTCTATCCGCGTTAGGAAACTTGGTCGATTATGTATTGAAATAAATAAAGAAGAGGAAGACGGTGGACTTCCAGACTATGATAACGTAATTGAAAGGAAAATATTTCGGGCTTTCTCAGATGGCTTACTTCGAG